CATCTGAGGGAGATAAATTTGCAGGTCCATTATTATATATTCACTTGCTAATTCCTATAGAACAGAAGGAATAGATAGTAGGATATTTAATCTCATTTCCCCTAGCAGACACATCTGATTGAGTTGGACAGGAATCCAAGATCTTATGTTTCTTAGAACTTTTTTGTGATTAGGAGAAATCTCACACTGCAAGTTTCAATTTGGAATCATATGGTGTTATTAGTTTGGTACCTACAAAAAGATTCTTCTCATTATCCATGCACTGTTTATTGATATCTTTCCATCGGTTGGGTAGTTGAGTTGACTTCCTTCGAATTTTTCACTTACTCTCTCAGGACTGCGTGAGTAACATCATAAAGCATGCACGAGATTGTGGTGTCCCAATGGTTATAGATGGGGTATGAAATAATTTAGTGAAAATATTTCATATTCGTTTTTCATCAAAAGCCTAGTTATGTTGTAATGTATCGCATCTGATGATATTTACTTACAGAATGTGATTTCTTTTTCAGGATGGACTCTTTCTTGTTACAAATAGTCTTGATCTGGTTAGAGGCTATCCTTTGGCTGTGCTGACACCCAACATAAATGAGTATAAACGTCTTGTTCAAAGTGTGCTAAATTCTGAAGTTAATGATCAAAATGGAACTGAACAATTAAAATCCCTTGTTAATGGGTAAGTTCTCCCTTTCCTTGTTTGCTGAAATAACAGTTTCCCTAATAGTATGATATCCCTATATGAAATCTTTGTGTCAAAACTGAGCAAAAACTGTTTTCCTCCTTGGGAAGCTGAGCATGTTTATGTTGGATTATCAATTGGAAGTAATGTAATATGGTTAAGGTACCACTTCAGGAGAAGAACTATGCCCTTTTCCCTCGCCCCTTCCTATTGTACTTTGAAGATGTTGAAACCTTGTTGCTGCCTTAACCATTGTTCCACTTTGAAAAGAGTAGTGATAGTGTGATACAGTATCTTCGATTGACATTGTGCAATCTTTGTTATCTTTTAACCCTGTTTTGAGATAGACCAATTACCTATTAAGTTGGATTCTTATGAAGCTTTATCTCTATCCAAAGTTTCATATAGTTTATTAATGTCATGCTGCATTTTTCAGGATTGGTGGCGTGACAATTTTACGGAAAGGAAAATCTGATTTAATCAGCGATGGTGAAACAGGTATTTCATGCTTTAAAGTCTTAGTGAGGTAGTGAATTTGCGAAGTTTCATTTGGTTGACTGGTATCTTCTATACTTCTATGCATTCTGCAACTTATCATAAAATATTCATCCCCCGTATATATTTCCTTGTGGTTCTTGCAGTTAGTTCAGTGAGCATATATGGCTCCCCTCGACGCTGTGGTGGCCAGGGTGATATACTTTCAGGAAGGTTGGTAATCTTCATCATCTTCTTCTCCATTGTATAACTTAGCATACGGTCCTGAGACATATATGACGTCTCAACTCTCATGTCCAATCCTCATTTCCCTTTAGCCAAAATAGAAAATAGCCCAATTGCTTGCACGGGCTTAGCTCACTGGTTCAGTAGGCAGTATTTGGGAGAAGAGACCAATGTTCAAAGCTCGGCAATGGCAATATGGGGATAATGCCCAAAGTGAGCAGATCCCTTGTGCGCATTGACATTTGGCCTTGTCTGCTGAGCCATTGAGACGTCGCTAGGGACTTGCATTTGTGCCAGCCGCGCCTCGAGTTGGGGGCACGGGAGGCCATCATCCGCTCTCCGCGTGATTTACATCCTCTCACATGCTCTGTCGGGTCGGGGGCCCTTGGGGTTGGGGATAGAAGAAGAAAATAGCCAAATTGAAACTTCGCTCTTTGCTGGTTTTACACATATTTCATTGTTATTGCTGTCAGCGTTGCTGTATTTCTATGTTGGGCACGCCAGCAAGCTGCTAAGGGAGAATCGGTCACTAATCCTACAATACTAGGGTGTATCGCTGGCTCTGCTCTACTGAGAAAGGCGGCAGCCCTTGCATTCGAGAACAAGAGGAGATCCACACTCACTGGGGATATCATTGAGTGCCTGGGACAAAGGTGAGAGTTGTTTAGATTATATAGAAATCTTGTAACTACGAAATGCAGAGCTATTATTCTGATTCATTTTGCATTCTGCAGCTTGGAGGAGATATGTCCAGTCCTCTGAGAGACAAACTCAATAAGTCATCTGGTAGAGTTGTGGTGTTGTAAATGTAACTTCTGCCTTCAATAAGAAGCTGTTTGGTGAAACTAAATATGAGAGCAATCAATAAAATAAGGCATATTGCGGAAAGAAATTCTAAATATTTGTTGCAATAATCATTGTTAAACCTTTTATCTAGTCACTATGTTACAACAAAATTTGAATTGTTAAGCAGTTCTCACAACCTCCCTTGGGATTCGCAACCACTCTTCGTCCCATTTTGTTTGTCTAGGCAAGGCTTGATTAGAGTTAATTTAAATTCAATTCTTCATAACATTTAGTTTAATATTAATATATAAAATTTATATATTTAGAAATTACATTAAAATTCCTCCGTCCCCTATTTTTCTGGTCCGATTAACAAGGTTTGGTTGAAGTTAATTTTAATTCAATTCTTCACAATATTTAATTTAGTATTAGTATACAAAATTTATATATTTAAAAACTACATTAAAAGTACTATTGAACACAAAAACTTAATTTAAAAATAATTAAAAATTACAAAAAAAAAAAAGCAATGAAAAAAAGAGCTTGTTTTACGCGAATCATGTGGTTCTCTATTCCACCAACCTGTATTTCGTCGATGGTTGATTATTAATGCAATCCTTATTTTCCCCTCAAAAAAGAGCTTGTTTTACCAATGAATAGTAAACAAAATAAATAAAATGGGACAAATGAAGTAATAAAATGACAAAGTTCTTGCCAAGCACCTTGTGCTGCCATGTAGTGACCTCTTCCATGTGGAAGGTCATGACTCTTTGTGCTTGATTATGTTGAAAAAGTATGTTTGAACAGATACTACAATATAATAGAATCAGTAGTATTCACAAAAAAAATGACAAAGTTCTTATTGTGACAACCTATCAAACTTATCCCGCAACCACTCTCGCATACCCACCCCCCTTGCATCCCCCCAATCATCCCATAGGTAGCCCAAACATTTGTAACAAAACCACACTCCAAATCCGCAAACACAATCGTTATATCGTGCACCAAGGCGCACAATGCATTGTGCGGCCTGGCCTAAAACGATAACGTTTTTATAAGTTGGTGGGGAGTTGATGCGACGGACATCGTTCCGTCTGTCCAATCACATTACAGTTTTTTTTTTATTTATTTTTTTAACACTTGAGTTTATGTGTATTATGTTAAGGGTTTATGTGTATTATATATTATGTTAGATTATGGCCCTGTTTGGTAAAATGGCTGTTAGCTGATTGTGTTAATTAGAGGGTATAAATAGTTGATAAGAGTGAATTCTATTTTTGGTCCTACTGTTATAGGGGCGTTTCCAATTTCAGTCCACTTTAATTTTTTTTGCCACTTTACAACCACTGTTATTGAATGTGTTCCACTTTTAGTCCACCGTTAATATTTTCGTCAAGAGGCCGTATAATCAAAGGGTATTTTGGTCTTTTTATGTTTGTCTCTTTTCTTTTAATCCAGGCGTTTCGTCCTCCTCCTCCGATATTCGAAGATGGCTCTTTGAACAACGAGAATGGGAAGCCAAAGCTACATCGTTTCGTTTGTTCCAACATGGGCTAGCGAGGTTTTTTAGGTTTTAGGTTTAATGTTCTCATTTCTTTAGTCAAACATAGTCTTGGATGAGAAGAAAGGTCAAAATACCCCTAGATTACACGGCCTCTTGATGGAAATACTAACGGTGGGACTAAAAGTGGAACACATTCAATAATAGTGGTTATAAAGTGGCAAAAAAAATTAAGGTGGACTAAAATTGAAAACGCCGCTATAACAGTAGGACCAAAAATGGAATTCACTCTAGTTGATAACATTAACTGATTGTAGAAAAGTGTTTGGTAAATTAGCTGTTAGCTGATAGCTGTTTGGTATAATTTTTTTTCTCAAAAAGCTTTGAAAAAGTTGCTTGGAGTAACTTTTTGAATTCTAGCATTTTAAAGTTGCAAAAAGCTAATTAACCAAACATTTATATTGATATTTTAACTAAATCAAACAATTAATAGTGGTCAAATAAACCAAAATTGACCTATAGGCCATTTTTTTACCAAACAGGGCCTATATGTATTATGTTAAGAGTTTATGTATATGCTACAATTCTGTACATACGAAACAGAAATAAATTTTTTTTTAGAAGTTAACGGCAGAAACAGACGTTGTTTTGGCCGGACGCACAATGGTGCACGATATAATTTGCCCCCGCAAACACATGCATTGTAGATTCCCTTAAGTTACCACATAACGTGCACACACTATCACAAGGCATTCGTCTAACCCTCAAAACATCTTTTGTTGGTAAAGACAACATAAATTTCAGAAAAAGCATTTAATTTTTGGAGGAATCAATAGCTCCCACATTTTAGTCAGACCAGCTCACCCAATTATCCTGACCACACTCCCCTACCAAAAATCTGTCGGCACTCTTCACAGAAAAAAAAAAAAAAAAAAAAAAAAAAAAAAAAAAAAAAAAAAAACCATCAACCCCCCTCCCCAATACAGATTTTAAGTGTAATTCTAATAAAGCTTACTAATGCAGTTCAATTCATCTTTGAATTACCTAACTAGTTCATCAAACATAAGAGAATGACAGATATTTTCACTAAACTATTTCCTGTAAATTAGATTAAAATTATTATAATTAATGTAAAAGTATAAATAATCACTACAAAAAATTACCCCAAAGTAAATTTGATTATTTTTGTTTGAGTAAAATTGTCAAGACACACAGAATAACTAATGGGAGACAATGAAGTCATGAAGATATATCATAAATGCATAATGGCACTTCAGTGCATACACCAGCACAGAAAAAAAAACAGCACACAAAGGCACAAAGCAACCTAAAGATTTGGCATTACTTCTATCTCAAAATATTACAACCTTAACAACATTCTTTTTCACTTTTTAATTAAAATATACATGATAGAAGGCATAGAGTTTATGGCATGCCAGATTGAGCTACACTATAAAAAAACAACAGGAAGCTGAGTGCTTCATATTCCATCCTGTATTCACTTTTATACTATGCAGCCTGCTTGCTCAATGATGTGTCCAGTGCTCAGGTAGTACTATTCTGCAACCGCAATGTTGAAGTACAAGATGAGTTAATACTACAGCAATATATAAACACTGCAAACCGTATAACTTGATCTGCTACAGATGTGTTGAAGAGAGTGGGAAACATATCCAGGTTAAAATATTAGATGGGGACTCTCAAGTCTCATCTGCTTCTAATTCCTACTTTGTTTCTCTAACCTACCCTTGAGTTTTAGTAGAATCAGATGAGGTGTAAATAAAGTATAGACAACATCCACACACTCAAGCAACAAGTATATTGTAAGGAGGGGTAACCCCATCAAGATGGCTAAGGATACAAACTTGTAACTACAAGGTCACGAGTTCGAACCCCAGCCTTCTTGGTTTGAGCTGGTCAGCTACGGACAACCTAGGATGGTTTACCTCATTGTGGTCCTTTGTCAGCTAGGTCATAAGGCGGGGTTTACCCAATATACACTCTTGGATAATGGCTATGGGTTTCACTCATCACCCAAAAAAATGTATATTATAAGGCATATATTGGTTGACCAAAGCCAATAAATTCCTAACCCCTAGGCAAAGGCATTGCATGGCAGGTATGAAACCCTACATGAATATACCTGATGGAATTTTCATTTGATATGGTAAACAAAGATGTGTAGGAGAGCAGGTGAAGGAGCTTAAGCATTGATTAAAAGGCAAATGGATTAGTAATTCCACTGGTGCGATGTAAAAAATCTACTCACATTTCATCCCGGTTTCTGACTCCTGCTTATGAATCTGATGGTGGTTGCTGCTGCTGCTGAGGCCACATTGGCTGAGCCATATAGGGACGAGGCTGCTGACCATAAGGAGTTTGATCCACTGGCTTACCCATATACATCCCTGAGGTTCCAACCTGAGGAGCAGATTGTGCTTGCATGTAGTAGTATGGAAGCTCTGCAGGTCCACCAACAGGAAGGGTTCCTCTAGGGATTGATGCAAGCACCTCATCTTTCAAATCCTCTCTTGGCACAATGTCGACCAAGAAATCAAAGATGTCAGTCCTTGTAATGGCTGCAGCAATGTCGTTTTTCTGAAGTGTCCTCCTTTTGTTCTCCTCTGTGTGGTTCCATGCACGCAGTGTCAACTCAAGGATAAACATCTCACAAGCCCGGGCAAAAACAACAGGTGCTTCTGCTGATATCATCCTAACATCTTCGTCTGCCTTCATGATTTTCTTGATCCTTGCCAACGGCAAGCTATGGTTCTTGAAATCAGTAACCTGTTCAATTTCTTGGTATTGATTTGCCCAGAAAGCCTGAAGTTGTTGCTGCAACTGTTGTTGCTGCTGTTGGTGTATGTGCTGATATGCGAGCTGATGTTGTGCCATCTGAGATGAAGAGGCGGGAAGACCTACATTTTGTGGAGATTGAATAGGACCAACAGATGTAGCAGGGGGTGGCCCTGTCATTTGGTTAGCTTGGAATGAGGGAACACCATATGGCATTGAAGCAGAGGTAGTCACTACCCCCATACCTGGTGGTGGCTGTCCGTTTCCATGCTGATCCATTTCACCTCTTTCAACTTGCAGGGAAACTCAGGGATATTTTATTTCCTGTTCAATAGCAAGCAGGTATCATACAATGTTAGGAAAGACAATAGACAACAATGAGCTGTAATGGATCATCTCTATTAAGCAATATATTAATGATATGCATGCACAACCCTATAAAAATTATTGTAAAGGCTTGATATTATGTTATGAAAGTAAAGAGAGAGTTTCTGAATAAGTTGTATATTAAAAAAGAGAATGCACAACCCTATAAATACATGCTAGAAGATCCATACCAAATTTCACAACAGCAAACACCAGACACGTATTGAGTGGTAATAGAGATTAAAAAGGCAAAGAATCCACAGATGAGAGAGGCTGAAAGATTATTCTCAACTGATGAATAACTTCTAGAAGATACTCCATATAAGAGAGAAAGGGAAACACCCTTTTTACGCTAAAGGGAATGAAAATGATACATATAGCTAGATTTGCATAGCATGCAAAAGAGATGGGAGTTTTCACTTATCTTTGGCCAACTCCAGTTCTCTGGACTCTAAAGAGCAAGTTGCAAATATCTAATATTTAATAATTGCTATTTCTGTTCATTCTATTAGCTTTCAATCAGGAAAACTTGGAAACTTGTCATTGATGTTGGACAAAAACTTTTATGCTCAAAATCTTAAAAGCCAACAGCACAGAGTTGATCTTGACTCAAAAGTAAGTTACCAATAGTTCTTAAACTTGTCAAGGTGTCTCACTTAAAAAATGAAACTCCCTTAGCGGTGAACTCAGTAAACAATTCCAAGCTGACTCTTTGGCTATTCTTTGGGTTCACCACTAGTGCTAGAACCTTTTTTTTTTTGTTTTTTTTTTTTCAAATAAGAAGCCACTAATTGTTTCAACTTCTTTCAGATTACCAAAATGAAGTTTAATCAACAACTACCCAACCAAAACCAGTCAGTAACACACTTGCAACCCATATCCCAGAAATCCGAACCTCAGAGAAACCAAGAAAGTTTATTACAAAAAAAATAATGATTTAACAACTAAACACAAAGCTCAAATAGATTCAAAGACACAAACAACTTCAAGACTTATATCACACATCGATTCAAAATCAAAATCAGAAACAACAAATTGCCCAATATGAAAACAAACTTGACCAAGTGCACCAATATGCAACACAATTACACAAAACCCTACATGCATGCTCATAATTCACAAATTTCTCGGGTATATGCAGTAATATTCCACTCAAAAATCACAACAAAAACACACACAAAAACTCTATGCACAGAGCAAAACTTAAAAGCAGCAATTGCATGTCTCAAGGTGAAATCGAAACCTGAACAGAAATTATCGCCGGTGAATTCTTGCTTCCTCCCGGCGATAAAACAAAAACCTGTAATTAATCACAAACGCAACCAAAAAAAAAAAAAAAAAAACGAAAAATCAAATTACCAAACGAAACTTATTAAACAAATAAACCAAAAATATTCACCTTAGCCGCCCCTCTGATACCGAGGGGCTTTAGCCTGGCTACAACAAAGAAAAGAAAAGAAAAGAAAAACAGAAAATGAAGAGAAATTACAAAGAAGAAAAAAGCGAAGGTTGAAGAGAGAGAGAGAGAGAGTGTGTGTGTGTTTTAGGGTTGAATGATCAGCGAGAAACGATCCGAATGTTGTCGTACCTAAAATTTCGGTGGGAGGTAACACTTGGCACTTGTCAAAACTAACAACTCTCCACCTCCTCTGCCTCCTTCATTTAAACATCTTGTCCTTACCTGAAAACAACAAATAACAAAAAAAATAATAATATAAAATGAGAAGCATTATTACTTACTCATGATTTTTTTTTTCTTTTTAAATGACACACAAAAAATGGAAGTTTTCTAAAGTGTTTCCAAATTGGAAAATTAAAAAAAAAACCTGAAAAATAACATATATTTTTGAATGCTACTGACTCTATTACATTGTAGTATCTATTCAAACATACTTTTTCAATCTAATGAAGCACAAAAAGTCAACAACGCCTCCACTGAGGCTCAATATCATGACCTCCCACATAGGAGAGGTCACTACATGCATCTGAGCATAAAGTGTTTGGCTCCAACATATAGTAAACCATTTTTTAAAATATTTTTTCTTTACTATATTTTCTAACTAGTGCTGACTCTAATATAATGCAGAAGTAAATTTTAATTTTGGTTCACTGACTATTGAATTTGTGTTAATTGCTACACCTGACTTTCAAAAGTGTTAACTTAGTACCTTGACTATGCAATTTTTATCAATTTTAGTCACGCCGGCCAAATGTGACCGGAAAATTTTAAGTCAACAGTTAAACTTAAATGCGAGGGGCAAAGTCATCATTTCACTATCCTGGGAGTCGGAGGAGTGGTGTTAAAAAATCTGCAACAAAAGATCAAAGAATATTAAACTTAAATCGGCTAAATTTATTCTTCAAAGAAATAATACTTGATCAAATTGGCAAACCAACATTTGCAGAAAGTACTTAAATCGGATAAATTTATCCTCTGCGTTTTTAGCGGTTTTCTTGAGAATTTCGAATCTGGACTTCTTGTTCTTCTCGTATATCTGAAGGACCCGCCTCTAATAATTTCTTGGAGTTCGAAAACCTGATCCAGGATGATGACGCAATTTTCAGTGATCGCGAAGTCGTGAATCATTTTTGGAACGACCAAGGCACCGGGATTTTCGCGTTGAGTTACGACGTCGTTCAGAAGCTTTTCAATCACTTTCCCAAATAAGAGTGAACAAGAATTGACGAATTTACCCCTTTCAATTCAGTTTAATTGTTTACTTAAAATTTTCCGATCACATTTGGCCGGCGTGACTAAAATTGATAAAAGTTGCATAGTCAAGGTATTAAATTAACACTTTTGAAAGTCAAGTGTTGCAATTAACGCAAGAATAGAATGAGTGAGGTAGAAGGATCTGGTACGAGATGTTCTCGACATACCGGAGGATCTAGATCAGTTATTGAGCACTATCACAAGTTGGTAATACATTTAACTTACAAATTTATTATTTGTATATATTTTGCAAGTTAAGTATCATTTTATTGTTTGTGCGTGTTTAATAGCGGGATGATATTCAAAAGGAGCCTAATTTGTTTAAGTGTTTCGAGCAAATTCACAAAAAGAAGAATGGTATGTGCGTTGATTCGAGGTCAAAGAGAATCGCTGTAAGTATAACGTAATAATCATATATATTGTTAAATAGATAAATTTTTTATATGCCTTTGTATACTTCTTTTATTTTGTATATGTTTTTAATTGTAGGACGAAATACAAGCACGACATCCAGCTGCAACGCAAGAAGCTGAAGGGTTAACTGAGCCACCAAGTATAAACATGTCACAGCTGTATGTGGATGTTGTTGGCGGGGTTAAAAAACAGCGTATTTATGGCTTAGGGACTAAGGCATCCTCATTTATCAGAATAATTGTGGATCATCTGCTACTTCACAACTTCGTCAAGATGCAATGAAGGAGATGGTAAATCAACAGATAGAGACTATGCAAGCTGAGATGGAGGCTAAAATGCAAGCTCAGATTGCAAGTTTTTTTTTTTTTTTTTTTTTTTTTTTTTATAATATATTTGGTACTGTTTTTATTCTTAATGATTAGATTAACATTATACAGCGGTTTACTTTTGTTATTGTTATTGAGTATGAATATTTTCATATAATATATTTTACAATTATATTATTGGTGTAGTATATTATATGTATATTTTACAGGTATGCGATATTAATTTGTAATTATTATTATTTTTTAATTTTTAAAATTTAGCGACGGATATATATTATTGTAATTCCGTAGCTAAGTATTTAATTAAAATACGGTAACGAAATAGCGACAGAACAATTCCGTAGTTAAATGTAGCGACGGATATTTCTGTCACTAAACCGTAGCTACATGGTATTACATTTAAATAATAAAAACAAGCTAGCGACGACATATATCCGTTGCTACATTGTAGCGACGGATATTTTTGACACTACAAGTACAGACAAAATAATCCGTCGCTAGTCCGTTGTAAAGGTCGTCATGATTTCGTCGTGGTAGGAATTTAGCAACGGATATTTTGTTTATTTAGCGATGGAATATCCGTCGCTAAATTTACCGACGAAACATTCCGTCATTATTCCCTCGCAAATGCTGACGTCAAAACCGTCGCCGAGGGAAATTTAATGAAGGATTATTTTTGTCTAGCAAGGGAGAGTTCCGTCGCTAAGGATAGCGACGGAAATAATTCACGTCGTTAAATTCTAGCGATGCTCATTATAGCGACGGACCAAATCCGTCGCTATATGGTTCAGCGATAGATTTGGCCTGTTTAGCGACGGAAATTGTCCATCGCTATTTTCGTGTTTTTTTGTAATGTCTGTTAGGAATAAATTGTAATAGATTTTGATATGCCAAATTTGTATTTGTAGAACCCCCAATTTTATTGGTTTAAGTCTAGTTGAGTCTTAGACCATGATCGGGAAATTATTGATTAAGAAGCAAAAGAGAAAAATAGAAGAGGAAGATGTATGAAAATAGAAGAAGATATCAAGCCTAAAATCAAGAATTTGTCTGGTGAAAATGACAAATAGAAGAAGAAGATGTATAATATGAACTTCACATCGATACCTCACTCGAAAAGAATTCCGAAAAGAATTTTCATTGAAGAAAATCAAGGTTTGAAGTTTGCATGAATTTGACTTGAAGATCAAGCATCTATGGAAATAAAGGAGTACATCAAAGAAGATTGGAGATATAATCAAATGATCGTACATACGAGTTGAAAGATGTCTGATATGTTATACCTAATGGCTCAAGTTTGAATCTCACCATCTACAATTTTACAAGGTAAAATTTGAGGAGCCAAATTAATTAAGCCAGATGGAATTGGGCGTCAATTGGAAATTTCACTTGGGTGCAATTGAAATTGGGAGCCGATTTGGGAATTGAGATATAATTTGAAACCAGGAGAAGTCTTTTGAGACCAGGAGAAGTTGGGTGCCAATTGCAAGGAGAAATTCAAATTAGGAAGAAGTCAGTTTGGAGTAGTCTAAGAACACCTAGACGTGAAGATGAAGAAAACCTTATGGGATTAAATTGAAGAATATTTTTGAAGCATATAAATTTAAATTGAAGAATATTTTTGAAGCATATAAATCCCAAGAAAAAGACAACCACTACAGAAGAAGATCAGAGAAGTCGTTCTACATGAAACTGAAGCTCAAAATACTCCCAAGAAGTATGAGAAAACCAGATGAAGTTTGGGAACCCATTTGCATGAACTTGGAGCTCTACAAACGGCTAGAATATCTTTCTGACACATTGCTAGAAGATAAGATAAGATCTCTGACAAAAGATACAAGAATTCAAAAATGAGATTGTCTTTTTCCAACGGGCAGATTCTCATTACCAGCTATAAAAGGATGAAGATTTGAAGACTTGAAGTAAAGTTCCAACAAATGAAAATATAAAGCATACGAAAATCTTCAAGTGAGAAAAAGAACTCAGAGAGTTTAGAAAGAAAAATCTATTGAGTTAAAAAATACAGAGCTAAACAGAGCATACATATCAAGTGTTATACTTGATACATTCAAAGAGAGAAAAACACTCAGAGATACAGAGCTATCAAGAGAAATAATTCAAGAGTGTTAATCTTCATCACAAGAGACTTGCAGCACATTGAAGATCATCTACAGAGTCTCAGAAGTTGGAAGCAAGAAAAGCTTGTTTTTCTAGAAACAAGTGACATCCCTACTGGAGTGTAGGAAGGAGACTGTCACAAGGAGCGTGAAGTCTTGGAGAAGGGAAAGTAGCATGGAGTTGCGAAACCCAAGAAGCGGTTCTACCGGAGCGTAGAAGTCGGGGGGAAAGTAACGCGGAGTCGTGAAATCCTGGAAAGTAACACGGAGTTGTGAAATCCTGGAAAGTAACGCGGAGTCGTGAAATCCGAAGCAGCAGTGTTGGTGGCACTGGGCGTGATTAGTGCGGGCTTTGTGATCAAAGCACTAGATCATGGAATTCATTGTATCTAGAAACCAAGTAGTGGTGGATATAGTGAATTGCTCTTAAAGATAAGAGCAAGTGGAGTAGGAGGATTACACCACCTCCGAACCACTATAATTTACTTACTGCTTCTTGCTTGCTTCTCACGAGTTATACTTGACACAATCTCTACACACACTTACTTTATTTATTTCCGCTATGCACCAGAATCTAACAATCTAGTTAAGAGTTTTGGTTTCTCTGTACCTTAGCAATTGTTGTAATTTGGCAAAACGGTTTAAAAGTCTATCCCCCCCCCCCCCCCCCCCCTCTCTAGACTTTTACCATACCTCTTTTGGGACCAACAATTGGTATCAGAGCTCGTTGCCTATTTGGGTCAACCTGTTTCTGACTGCTAGGCAGATCCATATTACAAAGTGTGTGATTGGATTAATCTTTCATATCT